ATAATAGTATCATCAATTTTCAACTAAAATATATATATATTTATCTTTATTTATTTGAGTGTCTACCTGTCATCTGCTTTAGTATCAGTAGCTTTAGCCATAATAAAAATAAAACACTGTAATTATGTAAAAAATATAGAGACTAATTATATTTTTTTAAACTTCAAGGGAGATGAGTGTAATTTATCCAAAATATAAAAATAAAATAGCATTCAACTTGTAATACTATTGTAGTTAGTGCCACCAGTGCTGAAAGGAAATTGAGAAAAAGAGAGTTATAAACATGCTACCCACTAAACTACAACTGAATCATTGCTCCAAAACACAAAATCTGATTCAGAGAAATTTACAAATCATAAATATACTGCACACTAAATTCCTTTCTCTGTCAAATTCAATTACTAATTTATTATTATTTTTTCCATCAAGACAAATCAAAAACCTTCAATCACAGAGAATTAATTACAAAAAAAATACCTTTCAAACAAAAATCTCTAACAATGAAATCGAAAACAACGAACACCTCCACTGGAAACGAGTGATTAGAATCACGAATAATGTTATCCCTCAAATCAAAATCATGATCTCAAAACAAAAATGAAATCAAAACCAGAGAAAATTCTACAAAATCAACTCGAATAAAGCTTCCAAAACAAAAGGTTCAACAAAATCATAATTGAAATCGGAATCGGAATCAGAATCAGAATTGAAATTGGAATTGGAAACGGAAACGAAATCGGAATCTCAAACCAAAATCCTAGCGCAATCTCTGTTGAAACAGGATACAAAATTTTCACAAATATTTCAAATTATCGAGGGTAAATTAGGTATTTTACCCTTATAAAGGACCTAAACTACTAAAATAATAACACTAAGAGCATGTTTGTTTTGAAGGATAACGGTGTGAGATTGGACTATTAGTCCCATCGGACTAATAGTGCATTGTTTGTTTGAAAATTTTGCTCCGGACTATTAGTCCCACAAATATGGGACTATCATATCCCATGAGGGAGAGTGGGATAAAAACCATGGGATTGGTATCCCATGGGATTGTTTTGTGAATTGCCTATTTTACCTTCCATACTATTACTTAGTGAACAATTAGAAAAGGGTAAAATAGTCTTTTGAACATTTATAAATTATTTTTTTAGTGTTGTTAATTTAAAATAATATATTAAATAAAAAAATTTAATTATAAATTATAGATTAAATTTATTTAAAAATAATAAATTATAAATTATGGCCTTATAAATTAAATTTTTTTAGTGTTGTTGAAAATTTAATTTATATATTAAATAAAATTATTTTTTATTGTAGTTAATTTAAAATTATATATTAAATAAAAAATAAAAAATATAAATTATAAATTTAATTTAATAGAAAATAATAAATTAAAAATTATGGCCTTATAAATTAAATTTTTTTAGTGTTGTTAAATTATAAATTATAGATTACAAATTTAAAATTACATATTAAATAAAAATTATAAATTACAAGGGTAAAACAGTCTTTTGAACATTTATCTTTATCCAGTCCGTCTAACCAAATATTGGATTCACTAAAAATAGTCCAACTCAGACATCTAATCTTATGACTAAACAAACATAGGATACAAATTCAATCCAACCAAATAGTCCGGGAACAATGTATCTCAGGACTAACAGTCTGATAAATTACAATTCTCTTTTATCCAATCTGTCCAAATAAACACACCCTAAAAGATGTTAAGTGGAAGGGTTGAACCTCTCCTACTGTCAAAACTATATGGAGGATGTTTCACCAATCATCCCTCTTCATTACCAGTGTAGTTATTACTTAGAAACATCACATCAACATACATACTAAATTGACAATTCAAAAATATGAAATAATTACTTGTGAATTTCCGCATAATAAATTTGGGAGTTTTGTGAAACTGTGTCCTCTATCCATTCTAGCACAATTGAGTAATTATCCTATCTTTAGAAAATTTCACGTTGGCAGTGTGCCCAACCAATAGCAAATATATAAGAAAAATAATGAAAAAATGACATGATTTCATTGGATGGACACATAGCCACGTAATCTCCCCGATCCATAGGACAATTTCTACAACTATGGCTATGTTTGATTCCACAAGACCAATAGTGAGGTATTAACAATCCTATGAAATTAGTGTGGTATTCACAATCCCACCCCTATCCCATTACTAATAATCCTATAAATTTGTTGGATTAACTATCCATTGGATTAATAATCCTAAAAAAAATGTCAAAACAAACATAGGATAATTGGACCCACGGATTAATAATCCTAATCCCATACTCTAATCATTCCAATCAAACATGTATAGGCCTTCATTATGTTGAAAATATATGTTGTGAATGAAAATTTAAAAATAATGAAAATTTAAAAATGAAAAATGAAAATTTAAAATTAATGCATTTTTGTGTTAAAATTTTTATTTTTTTTTCATAAATTAAAAATAATTGAAGATTTTTTTTAATTGGTGAAATTTTTTTTAAAAAATTCAGTATGAAAATATATTATTTTTAAATTCACATTTTCTATGTTGGACAAATAATTTGAAGCGGGATGAATATTATACAAATTGCACCAAAAATTATATGCGCAATTATAGGCCTTGGTTATTAATTTAGTAAGTTGATGTGATGTAAACAAAATTATACCAAATAAACAAATTGCAGAAAGAGTGCTTCTAAAAAAAAATTGTACGAACACTCCCAGTGGATTACAAAAAAAAAAAAAAAAATGCGATTCATATGGGTCCAGTTGACTCCAAAGTCAGGCATACGGTAGAGGTTGTTTTGAACTGGGGCATATGGTAGAGGTTGGTGCAATAAACAAATTTATAGGAATAGTTTCTCTTTTGGAAAAATTAAAAAGATAAATAAATTAAGATTTAAACTTTTTCACAAATTTTTTTTGAGTTTTTTTAATTTTATTTATTTATGTTTAATTTAAACCATCTATCTATTTTTATAATGTAAAATTATCAAAAATATATATTCTATTCATTAAACTTAATAAAAACAAGTATTTTAGATGTTTTCCATATATCTACGGTGAATTTAAATAAGAAAAATATTTTTTTTTCCGACAAATTTACTTAATAAAAATGGGTAGATATATTTTTTTATTTTTTTTTATTTTTTTTGTAATTTCTTGATTTTCTTTCTGTACATGACAGGAAATACTGTATACCATATGTACCTTATAACTAAAAAAAATGACATAATTTAAATTTTCTAAGTCATAACTAAAAAAAGAAAGAAAAATCATAAGGGTAGATATATTTTTTTATTTTTTTATTTTTTTTGTAATTTCTTGATTTTCTTTCTGTACATGACAGGAAATACTTATAACTAAAAAAAATGACATAATTTAAATTTTCTAAGTCATAACTAAAAAAGAAAAAAAAAATCATAAGAGGATCTCCAACGGTACTAGGCATTTTACCTATTTAAATATTACTATAAAATATATATTTTATTTTGCCTATTAACTATTTCATGTTTCTACTTCAACCATACTCTTTATTTTAGCTATTCATCTAAACACTATTAATTTTATAGAATGTCACATCAGCAACAAAGATGGAGGGAAATAATTCTAATGATTAAATATATTATGCCTAGCCTTGAAGGCTAGCTACATGTAGCTAATGAATGTGAGTTGAGCTAAAACGTCTAATCATATGCCTAGTGCATTGGAGTTGAAAAAAATGAGTTATACTAGGCATTTTGATTAACAAGCATCATATACCTAGTGGGTTGGAGATGCTCTAAACACAACATGAAGCATAAATAAAGAACTCATAAGTTATAATTAAAATAAGGAGAATTTTTTTTAAGATCCTTGATATTAAAATTTTATAAGATAAATAATATATAATATTTTCATAATAGTTAAGGTTGCTCAACATTTTCACAGAGAAAATTCGATTCAGAGAAATTTCATCCGACTTAGAGAAATTTCAGTCCCGACATAGAGAAATTTCTCTGATTTCACAAAAAATTTTTTAATCATTAGGATCATTTCCCTCCATCTTTGTTGTTGATGTGGCATTTTTTAAAATTAATAGTATTTAGATGAATAGCTAAAATAAAGAGCATGGTTGGAGTAGAAATATGAAATAGTTGATAGGCAAAATAAAATATATACTTTATAGTAATATTTAGATAGGTAAAATGCCTATTACCGTTGGAGATGCTCAAAGATGGAGGGAAATAATCCTAATGATTAAATATATTATGCCTAGCTTTGAAGGCTAGCTACATGTAGCTAATGAATGTGAGTTGAGCTAAAATGTCTAATCATATGTCTAGTGCATTGGAGTTGAAAAAAATGAGTTATACTAGGCATTTTGACTAACAAGCATCATATACCTAGTGGGTTGGAGATGCTCTCATAAGTTATAATTAAAATAAGGAAATTTTTTTTTAAGATCCTTGATATTAAAATTTTATAAGATAAATAATATATAATATTTTCATAATAGTTAAGGTTCCTCAACATTTTCACAGAGAAAATTCGATTCAGAGAAATTTCATCCGACTTAGAGAAATTTCAGTCCCGACATAGAGAAATTTCTCTGATTTCACAGAAAATTTTTAAAATTTCTCTAGTATGATCACAGAAATTTTTTATCGAGAGACCTTAATTAATAAAAAACATATTTTGGACATTTTTTACTACACAAAGTTGAATAGGATGTTTCACTAATTTTCTCTTAAAATAATGTTGTAACAAAAAAAAAAAAAGAAGTGATCATAATAAAAAAAAATATAACATAACAAAAAAGTACATATGATATACTCTATTAAAAAATGTATATTAAAATTTTCCATACACGACACAGTTTAAAATTTTACGAAAATTATAAAAATTGACACCCACACCAAATAGTTGGTGAATTGGAGAACTTAAATTATTGATCTTTATAATTACATTGATACCAATGGCTAAACTGATTACTCCAAAGTCGGTCAACGGAGAAATTAAATTACATTGACGAGAAGGTTTGGTGATCGTACAGCTCTTCGCTTTTGTTTCCTCTTTACTTTTGGCTTCGCAATTGTGCTTTCAATTTTTCCTTTTGGATCCAAAATCAAGAACCCAGTTGTCCCTTCTGCTTCTTCATCCTGAAAGATCTTTGTTTTCTGTTTTTTGGGATCAATACCCATTTCAAGATTCTCTGTTCAATCACCAGTTTTCCGGCAAAACTCCCAGTCTCTTAGCTTGTCATCCCAGAAAACTCACCCCCTTTTCCTTAGAAACCATTTTGTTTGAGACTCATCTCTAAGTAATTATTTCATTTTTATCTTCATCCGATTGAGGCCGCCCATCTATAGGGAGCAGAACCATGGTCGAGGCAGAAATTACAGTGGGCTTTGACACCGAGGTATTGGCCATAAAAGAGCAACTTGCTGGAGGGAAGGAGCAGCTAGAATTCGTGTCAATTGTTGGGATGCCTGGACTCGGAAAGACAACTTTAGCCAAAAAGCTGTATAATGATCCTTATATCACATACCACTTTCATATTCGTGCATGGACCTATGTTTCTCAAGTACCAAGAAAAACAGAAATGTTGTTAAACATTTTACATTCTCTTAACGTCCTTTCTGGTGAAGATAATGACATGAGTAATGAAAAGTTAGGCGAAATGTTGTACAGGAATTTGAAGGGCAAGAGATATCTCATCGTCATTGATGATATATGTGATATTGGTGCCTGGGTTGATCTTAAAATGTATTTACCAAATGACAAAAATGAAAGTAGGGTCTTGTTTAGTAGCCGGCTCAAAGTGGTGGTTATGCATGCCTCGCCTGATAGCCATATTCATAGTCTGCGTTTTCTAACTGAAGAAGAAAGTTGGGAATTATTTCAATGGAAGGTGTTTCAGAATGAAAGTTTCCCTCTACAACTGGTCGAAATTGGGAAGCAAATAATGAAAAAATATGAAGGGCTTCCACTTGCAATTATTGTAATAGCAGGACTTCTTGAAAAGAACAAGAAAACAGAAGAGTGGTGGAAACATGTTGCCCAAGGAGTAAGCTCCTTCATTGTTAGTGATCCAAACCAACACTTGGACACAAGAGCATTGAGTTACAATCACTTGCCTTGTCACTTGAAACCATGCTTTCTCTATTTAGGAGCATTTCCAGAAGACCAAGAGATTTCGGTGCAGAAGTTAATTTGGTTATGGGTAGCAAGGGGATTTATACAGAACATTGGGGAGAGAAGCTTGGAAGAAGTAGCAGAGGATTACTTAATGGATCTAATTCAAAGAAGTCTGGTAATCGTTACTCGAAAAAGGTTTGATGGTCGAATTAAAGCGTGTCGTATGCATGATCTTTTGCGTGATTTATGCTTGAAGAAAGCTAGGGAAATTAATTTCTTACACTGAATTCACAATTACGAAGACGCTTATCTTTCTTCTTTAAGTAATTACAAAGCAAATAAGCAATGTTGCTTGTGCATCAATTCTAACTAATTTTGATTAAACTATTATTTTGCATAAATAATTGGGATTAACATTGAAAATGTGAAATTGGAAGGTTATGGGTATAGATGGTGAAATTAGATATGTATTAGCTTATACTTTTGGAAGTTGTGAATAAACTATTTATCTTGAGATTGAATATCTGTTTAGAGATAAATGTATTAGGCTATCGGTGGAGGATAGTTATGATTGTTGTAGAAATTCCATGAGGATTAGGCGATTTAATGCTAATCAAATGTTGGTTGTCATTACATATGACTATGTTTATAAATACATTGTATATGTATGTTTATTTGGGAGGAGAAAGAGGATGGACTCCGCTGAAAGCAAGTTGGCCAGAGTGTCCTGGGTGAAAGACCCGAAATCATATATATATATGTATATATATATATATATGGGTGCCGATTCCCGCGGACGAAATATTAGTAAAATGGCATATTTGAGAAAATATATATGGGTGCCGATTTCTTCGGACGAAATATCTGTAAAATGGCAGATTTGAAGTGTTTATTTGTGTTTTGCATAATTAGATAACCATTGAGTTGTAGTCTCATTTTGGTTGTTGAAAGATAATGAATTTAACTCATGAATTGAGTAGTGTATATGAACTGAAAATGAATTGTAAATGAATTGAAGGAAATTGAGATAAGATTGGTCTTAGTTGCATACGGATATGCAGGCCTTGTGGATACTTCCATATCGGTATTGTTTATGTACGTGGTATTTATACCTTTACTAAACCTCATAAATTGTGTTAGATTGTTTCTACTGGGCTATTGGCTCACCCTATACGGGAATATCATTTTCAGGTGCAGGTGAAATGTTTCCTCTAAGGCAATAGCATGGATGGACTTTCGGGAAGCAAGAGCTTCTTATTTATGCTTTATGTGTGTATGTTTGTTATTTGTAAAGCCAAGGGCTTAAGATGTAACGAGCGAGACTCTATTTGTGTGTAACCAAGCAATGACTTGGAAAGTTGTAAGCCTACATGGCATATAACTGGTTGTTAAACAGTGAACTCTGAAATAGGAAAGTATGTTGTTTCTCATATTTATTTCGCATATGAATTATCTTTATTGTATTATTTTGGGGGCGTTATATTCAACAATGCTCAAACACAACTTCGTTTGGATCAAAAGGAAGCCCACAACGTGCTCTACCTTTTTAACAAAGTGGCACGAGTGAAGAGCTCAATGGATCTAGGTGTATTTGTGGAGAGAAGTAGATTTTTAGAGAGAGGGAGTGTAGATCTAGGGTTCTTAGGATGTTTAGAGAGAGAGAGACATGAGAAAGTGACTAAAAAATGGCCCTCTACGAACTGATATACGCATGTATCACTTGAGCGCAAGAAGTGTCACTCGAGCGTCTAGACACAAAACATGGGACCGCTCGAGCGCAGTAATTAACGCTCGAGTGAAGAATACAAACTCCCAAAAGTTTTGCAGACAGAAGACCACCGCTTGAGCTCAACAAATGGCTGCTCGAGCCAACATCGCTCAAGTGCAAGAAGTGTCGCTTGAGCGAAGAATGCCAATTCCCAATATCTCTATAGACCTGCAAAAGTATTGAGAGTTTAAACTTACTGCTCGAGCGCAAGAAGTGACGCTCGAGAAAAGAAGCAAAAATCTGGGCAACAACAATTTGGACCAACAAGCTACCAACCTGTTCCAAAGACAACCAAAACACTTCAACAACCAAACTCAAGGAGGAAAAAGTGAAACCAGACAAGAACAACTATTTGAGACAGTGAAACTCGGATCCAAAACATCCACGGATCGGGTCTAGACCAAAATCGCTATAGGCCTTGTGAAGGCTTAAGTCGGCCCTGGACATAATTACACAATTTTTCTTAAAGTTTTAATTCACATAACAGTTTGTTCATTTATTATCAATAGTGCATTAGTCATATGAATGGAAGAAAAAATGCACACAACAATAAATCTCATTTTCATGTCTTATGAACCAATCATGTTACCCATAAGGCAACCCAAGAGGGGGAGTAAATTAGGTTTCTAAATAAATTGCTAAATTAAAATTTAACCCAAATAAAAAATAAATAAAAATACTCAACAATATAAAATAAAGTAATGAATGAGTAAAAGGAAGAGAAAGCAAACTCAGTGATTTATACTAGTTCGGCTTAACCCCAAGCCTCCATCCACTCTCCAAGTATTCTCCTCTGGAATTTCTCCACTATTCTTCAAATAGTAATACATCGCTAGTTTCGCAAGTGCTAGTGAACTTTTAGATATTATTTTCAAATCTATTTGAAAGATGAACAGTGAAATCTATTTAAATATTATTTGCATAGTAATCTTTCTATTAAAATAAAATATGATGCATAGTAAAATCTATTTAAATAATATTCAAATTGAAATGCATCATATATATACAAGCATATAGCACATCAGATAATATTTTGTGTTAAATAATATGAAGTATATATCATATAAAATCATAATACATCTAATGCATTTTAGATATCATCAAAATCAAACAACATAATTAACAATCTCTCCTTTTTTGATGATGGCAATATATGCATGAATTTGACTCAAAATTTCACATTAATAAATGCAACATTAAAACATACAACAATCATAATACATGCATTTATGTACATCATATATTTTTCCCCTTTTGTAACAAATTCTTTCTAAAAAATTCATATATAAATCATATTTAAATCATATTTCTTCTCCCCCTTTGACATCATCAAAATTGATATACAAATTATTTATAGAGAATGAAGATTTTCAGTTTCCAAAACAAAAATCATATAAATACATTTGATTAATTTTTCAGAGATATAGCAAATAATCTAATTTGACAAAACAAATTAATTTTTCTTATTTTTTCCATGATCATTATCGAGATTTGTTATCGTCGGCAGTAAAAAAATGATGCAATGGTGCTGAAGGTGTTGACTAACAAAATATTTGAGTGGATATGCATCGAATATTGTATCTATGGTGTATATAAAAAGTGACATAGATAATGCCCAAAGATATGAATCCTTCAAGTGTTCTTAGTAACTACGAGTCCTAGTGTATTTGTTAATCGTAATGGTACAAAGACTATTAATAAAACTATGACTCTTAGTACTCAAGCAATGACTGCGGTTT